GTCCCAGCACCACCGGTTTCAGTTCACTAGCAAATTAGATCCTCCCATCTTTTTCAGAAAAAAAAAAACTGTCCTTGTCTTTTATCCCTATCCAATACATGTAGATGAATTATTAATAATCAATAAGTCGTTTGGACATTTGGGTCAAGAATGGGTAGTCAATTATCTTTTGTTATTTCCAGGGTCTTTTGGGTAGAAAATGAGCAGCTCTCGGTATTATTGAATTGAAGCAGGTGCTAGCTAGTGGGAACTTGAGGATGATGTATGCTTAAAGGGAAATCATTTTTATTTTTAAGTCAAAATTGACAAACAAGAAAACGGTCAAATTGTTTGTAAGCCTACTATATATAGAATGCTGGGGAAATCTTGTAGATTATAAGGTGGAAAGCACAAAGAATATTGATTATTCTCATTTTTGTTTCTCCACACTTATGTCATATCCATGAGAGAGTTTTTTTTTAAAGAAGAAAGAGTTTGCATAAATATATCAAACCATTCAGTTTGGACTAATGGTGCAAAGCCAGAATATATGTAGACTTCATTTATCTGCTTTTTAATAAGAGTGAAGTATTTGACCGGTGAAGTATTTGAGTATCTGAAAATGGATGCAAAATACTTTTGCCCCTTAAAAATATATTAATAAACATCTCTGGACTATTTCTGAATATCCAGAAAAATTGTTCCCAAAAATCCTGATTTATTATCCTTGTTTGCAATTGAATTCATTGTTCTTTTTCATTTTATTCAAATATTGTCTAAATAATTTGATTCTGAAATGTAGCCCCCAAATGATCCCATCATAGATTATCTTCTCTTGTCCAGATTGTTCACTCATATGTACATCTGTTATCGTCGATATTATGAACAGATGAACATATGATTATATGCATGTATAATTATATATGCACCAGTGATATATATATATATATGACAGATTTGTCATTCATAAAAACGCGATGGTATATGCACTCATCAGTTTTGTTATATTATTGTAAGGCAGAAGATTTTTTGAAGAAGATTATTCTACCATATTGACTCATTGTAAATATTTTTGTTTATATTGCATTTTCTTACCTGCATGCAAGAATCTTCAGTATTGAAGGAGGCAGCTTATCTATAAGAAGAAGAAGAAGTGTATCTTTTTTAATTATTCGAAACACTGGAAATATAACCCACCTCCATTATACAAATGCATGCATTCAATATGAAACCATTTATAAACCCCTCTACACTATAGACAAAAGGCAACAAGCAATCCAACGCTGAGCAAACGACTGTAAGTAAAATTCACTACGAGGGAGTCCTTTCATAACTAACTAGCTAACCAAGTAGACTCCAGCACCCTTGACTAACATTAACGTGTATACTAATCACCCCCAAAATACTTTTAATCTGACTGTTATGGTCTTTATATCACTGTACTCCATTCAAAATATGAGCTTCATTAATAAGATATTGCTAATTTGAATACAGTCAATTATCAAAAACACTAGATTAACAAATATATATAATTAAAAAGAAAAAAATATGTAACCCAAATCTAACTTGGTTTTTTTTGTGAAAGTTCATTTTCATTCTTTATTTCCTTCATTTTTTTATAGTTTGATTTTATACATTCCAGCTGAACACATTTTGTTTTTTTAAGGTGATGAGTACACTTAAACAAATTTTTCCATCCCATCTAACACACCATCTTACTAAATATAGGTTGATTAACAGGAAATTTAACATAGTAATGATTTCAAGTTTTTAACATTCAAATAGAAAGATGAAGGTTCTGTCTTTGAGCCATCATCCTTTAGGTTCATGTCTGTGTCCTTAAGAAATGCACTTCATTTTATTGCTGCTTTCTACCCCGGTATAATAAATGGATACCCAAGAGTAAGTTTGAATTAACATATGAAGGCTAGTAACTTGCCAACTGGCTAAACTGCATTTGCGAAGGGATTCGACTAGTCACTGAACAAGGCATTATGTGAAGAAAGCGAGCTAATAATATTTTATTTTCTTAAAGCAGGCATTTTTCTATAAGCCAGTTCATAGTTGCAGTCTGAGCATGAGCAGATAAAGGTCATTGCGAACCAAATTGTGAAACACAGGGACACAAAATACTGGATAAGTGCTCATGAAAGTTATGTAATCACTCATTTATGCACAAGCAGTGCACTCCATGATACATAGGTGGAAGTATTCTTTGAAAAGGGGAAACAAAGGCTATTTATGTAGCACCTCCATCGCTCTAAGAGTGATTATTTCAAAAATGTACAAAGTGGAAGCTCTTCATGTTTTGAAGATCTGGGGATATTCAGGGTCATTTGGGACATGTGCTAAATGTGAACTGATCTATTGATGTGTCTCTTTATTTACTGTATAACACATTAAACCATCAACTTTACCAAAGTTTCTTCGGGGTATCTGTCTGGAGGTCTGCAAAAAGGGTGCAGAAAACACAGACAAAACTAAGTTAAAGACATCACCTTGCTCTACAGAATCGTTGTTACTTAATGTAATAACAAGGTATATATTGTAATATCCATAAACCTATTGTTTTCACCTTTGTGTAGTATTAACACAAGTCATCCATCAATATTTTGTAACAAATGAAATCATCAACATTAACTAAAATATACTGTTGTACATGTACGGTATATGTACAATTATAGGAAACTAGTTGTGTGTTAATTTTCAATTTTTAAGTTCATGCAGACATTGTACCATAACATCTAAAGTGTACATTTATTTTTATAATTCATTTAAAGTATTTTTATTTTAACATACAAGTTTTTCTCTTCTCTGTTGAACACATGTTAGGACCATTGACAAAAGTTTGATTTCATAAACGACGTAGAGCCCTTGATGTAAAAGTTGATATGTATATTGAGGTAAAAGAACTGCATGGACATGTGTACTAAATTGGCAACACATTCTATATTTTAAAGGAATAGCTTTTTATACATGGCAAATCCAAACACAGCTCCCAATAACATGTATTGTCAGTAATAGTCCCATATGCATTTATGTCTATCTATCTATGTAAGTATCTTCTCCCAGTTCCGGAGGTTGATTACATCATCTTTCCATTTCACTCTATATTCTGCCATTCTGGTGCACTCTTGCAGTTTTAGTCCACTCCAGTTCTTGACATTCTCTTCCCAGTTGATTCTGGGTCTCCCTCTAGGTCTACTTCCTTCCACTCTTCCTTCCAATACATCCTTTAAGAGGCTTTGGTACCTTCTAACATGACCAACATATTGACTGTATGTATTTTCTTCTTCGTTCTTCAGGTGTTGTCATTAGGCCCAGATGTCCTCCCCGAGTACAAGCTGCAGTCCCCTCGGATCCACAAATGGACCATCCTCCACTACTCGCCCTTCAAGGCGGTCTGGGACTGGGTCATCCTCCTCCTGGTCATCTACACGGCCATCATCACCCCCTACAACGCTGCCTTTCTCCTCAAGAGGGACTCCCCCACCCCGACGCCCCCACCCAGCGATGACACCGCCTCGGCGTCGACCACGGGTTCAAACAGCGCTGACTACAATCAGCCGCTCACCATCATCGATCTCATAGTCGACGTCATGTTCATCATAGACATCCTCATCAACTTTCGGACGACTTACGTCAACAAGAATGACGAAGTGGTCTCGCATCCCGGAAAGATTGCTGTGCATTACTTTAAAGGCTGGTTTCTTATTGACGTGGTCGCAGCTATTCCATTTGATCTTCTCCTCTTTGGGTCAGAAAGTGATCAGGTTAGTTGCTCTTTCTTGGTTTAATAAACTCATATCCTGCCATAAAGCCGCATGCATGCTACCGTTATATTGCTTTGAACACGCGAGCACGCTATCGATTGGCTGCTTAATTCTTGTGAGCGAGCCACAGCTTAGCTGCTTTATGCATGCATGCTCGCATTCGTAATAGCAGTTATTGTTCATGCTCATTGTACTGTGCCAAGTGCTTCGCAGGCGCTATTGATCGCACCATCAGATTTTCTCAAAATAAACTTGGCACAGGGGGGATTTGTGCCTTGGCACTGGGCTGTACTTGTTACGGCAGGATAAGAGTTTTAAAAAAAATATTATGTGGAGGTGTCTTGGTCTAGTGGATACGTCACCGGACTGTGGATCACATGGTTTGCGGTTCAAGTCCTGCCACGGCACTAATGTCCTTTGGCAAGACATTAATTTACATTTGCCACACTCAACCGAAGTGAGATAGAAGGGTACCTGGCAGGAATTAATTCCTAGAAATGCGAGAGCACCATAAAGGCATCCATGCTAAAACCAGGTTAATCATTGTGGTGTGCTAGTAAAGTCAAGTTTGACAGACATCAGTGCTGTACAAGAACCCACTGCCATTATATTATCATTATATTGTAAATTTTGTTGAATAACAAATGGAGAAAGACTGAAACATGTGTACCTTAATGTTATTTGATAGATTTTGTAAAACCAATATTCTTTTAGATTAAGTAGATTGGCATTTAGGTGTTTTATTTTGCCTTGACCCTTAAATGTTATATTTCTGAGTGTCTATTGTGTGCATTCCGCAGTGACCCTCACAGCTTTCTCTTGAAGCACCTGCTTCTTACAATATACACTTTGTCCTTCACACTGTCACTGTGTATCTTTGTCCTTTCCATCAATGGGTTTTTATATACACCTCTATATGAAACATGAATCTCTGAAATTCAACTTTTTTTTATTCTGTTTATTTTCTCTTGATATTCTCTGTCTCTTGTAGTCAACAACTCTCATAGGCCTTCTAAAAACTGCCGTCTTCAATGGGTATTTATATACACCTCTATATGAAACGGCCATCTCTAAAATTCAACCTTTTATTCTGTACATTTTCTCTTAATATATTCTCTGTCTCTTGTAGTCGACAACTCTCATAGGCCTTCTAAAAACATCAATGGGTTTTTATATAAACCTCTATAAGAAACGGCCATCTCTGAAATCTAACCTTATATTCTGTTTATTTTCTCTTGTAGTCAACAACTCTCATAGGCCTTTTAAAAACAGCGCGTCTTCTCCGCCTGGTGCGAGTCGCCCGGAAGCTGGACCGCTACTCGGAGTACGGGGCGGCCGTCCTCCTTCTCCTCATGGCAACCTTTGCCCTGATAGCCCACTGGCTGGCGTGCATCTGGTACGCGATCGGGTCGGCAGAGCGACAGCAACTCGAGCATCAGATCGGGTGGCTGGATCACCTTGCCAACGAGACGCACCAGTATTACGTGGACAATGTCACCAGCAGTGGGCCCACCATCAAGTCCAAGTACATTACAGCGCTTTACTTCACGTTCAGCAGTCTCACCAGCGTAGGGTTCGGCAACGTCTCCCCGAACACCAATGCGGAGAAAATCTTCTCGATCTGCGTGATGTTGATAGGATGTAAGTTTGGAGCTAGGGTTTCACGTTTTCATTAGTTAATTAGTTGTAGCTTAGTATTTGTGAGAAAATAAGAAAATAAGTTGTGAAAAGAAGGTTTATGAATAAAGAACATTAAAGCCCATCTGAACTAGTGTACAGGAGGATTAGACCACCCTGCAAGGTCACTGGACAGGTGGTTATGTCATCAACTCAGCTCTCAATTAATATAAGGAAAAGAGGATCATGGGGGACCAATGGTCAGCAATTATGTATTGTTTGTTATATAGAGGGCGCAAGTAACTATAAGTAGTCCAGTGGGCCTTTAAGCTTTATTATCATGATAAACAAAGTGTACTTTGATATCAAACTTTGTGATCCTGGAACACAAACAGAATTTCATGAAGAAAATAAAGATTACTTAAATACAGTATCCTAGTGTAAGTAGTCAATGTTCTTGGTCCGTTTCCATTCAGTATTGTTGGCCATTCAGCAGTTATGAATCGTTTCCTGTTTTACATTTTTTTTGGGGGGTGGGGGGCAGTTTGTTTGGGACTTTTGTTGGGCTTGTTGCTGTGACTTGGTATGAAATGAAATAATTTTGTCACTACAAGTATTCATAACCAGTCTGTAATTTTACCACCTATCCATCCGCTTCTCCATCTATAGCACTCATGTATGCCAGCATCTTTGGTAATGTCTCGGCCATCATCCAGCGACTCTACTCAGGCACCGCCCGCTACCACACCCAAATGTTGAGGGTCAAAGAATTCATCCGTTTCCATCAGATTCCCAACCCCCTACGGCAGAGATTAGAGGAGTACTTCCAGCATGCCTGGTCGTACACCAACGGCATTGACATGAACATGGTAAGTGATGAATGATAAAGATGATGCTAGTAATACTGGTGGTGTTGATTTCACTGGTGGTGGTGGTGGTGGTGGTGGTGATGATGATGATAATAAAAGTAATATTGTATTTGTTATGATAAAAGAAATATAAAGATGAAGAAAAGAAGAAAAAGGATCAGAAATAAAGGAAAAATAAAGAAAGAAAGAAGGAAAAATGATTGATAGATAGATAAAATGGATTATAATTGATGTGTTATAAAACATGTCTACAAGGTTTCACTATTACCCTGGTTGAAGCAAGGCTGACTTAAGGCCATGATAGCATTTAGAAGAAAACAAACTCTGAATGTACCAGGGACTCGTTACTACACCAGGGATGTTTTGCCAACGGACAAAATATAGACATCGATACTTCTTCTCCCCTCACATGAATTCATGCGAATGTTGGTTTTAAATGTGACATACATAAACACAGTGTTTTCTTACATTTTCTTTGCTTTTGTGATAAGTTGTTTTGAAATGTTTTGAAAACATTAGGATCTCAGTTCAGCAACACAAATCCCACACTAATGCCTAGTGAATTATGTTTCTTGAAAACAATATGTGGTTCTTACCTTTAGGGGATAAACATGATTTATGTCATGGATCTGAGAATGCATTTGATTAAGCAAGACAATTCTGTTTGGTTGTATAAAATGATATATTCCATATAAATAAATTAACAGTGAGTGGGATTTTGTTGTTGTTGATTGTTAGACCCAGATATTTGAATATGGAAAGCAGGCCCTTTTTCATCAAGTGTATGTAAACTTTTGGGCTTACTGTATTTATATATATGTATATATATATTACAAAAAGTGACAGAAATTGTATGTAAATGTAACTTTCTTTATAATTCATTTGGAAGGGAATGATAGGATTAAGGTATCTGGGGTGATTGCGTGTGAGACGTAGTTTTGCAGCTGGGTTTTGTTATGGGGAGAAAAGCACTCTCAAGTCCATTTTAGATTCAGCTTCAATACAGCTTAGAATTTCTTGAATAATTCTCCCCTGGCCACATTCTCACTACCGGATATCTTCTAGTTTTCCATGCATTAGATTTTTTTTGTTTTATTCATTGCTCAAATCAAGGGAGTTCTTTTTACTTTCAATAAACAGAGATTAGCTCAGTATGAGAATAATAATGTGGTATATTTTGAGATTTTATTTCCATGATGCCAATGGCAGCTCTGAAAGCAGGAGATATATGGAAAGGGAACAAAAAAATGCCCCAAATTGTCTTTGGTGTGCCCGGGCTATAATCAAGGATGCCAGTTTTCATTCTATAGTTAAAGAGGTATACACATTGAATAACAGCATCAAATAATTCAAAATAATAGCAAAAAGCCAGTTTTAAGAGGTCAGGGGGGTGTTTCACAAAGATCCTAAGTTGAACTTATCTCTAAGTTGGACTTAAAAATTATGGAAGGCCATTAGCATCTTTGAAAATATTTTGTAAAAGTTATTTTGAAAGGCATTAATTGTTTATTCAAATCATTCATATTGTCTATCATCAAGGAGATTTCATGTTCTGGATGTGGAATTCATAAAAAGTCTAAAATACTTGAATTTCTGCTTTTGAATATATTTCATTTTAAGACTCCAATGGCTCTCCATAATATTTAAGTCCAACTTAGAGTTAAGTTCTACTTAGGATCTTTGTGAAACACCCCCCTGTTCAGATAACAGCTGGCCAATCAGCTTTGCTTGCTCACGATAAGCCCTGCCCAGTTAAATTTATACACCAAGTTATACTTTGTATGATACGACTGTCGGATGAAAAAGGACCCTGATTTTTTGTAACACAACATTCAGACTAGAACAAGAACTTATCATGTAGCTATATAGTTTTTGTATAGCTATTCAATGAATGTTGGTAGTCTGAAGGAGGGTTCAGCTGTAAGAACAGTTGCAGCACAGAAAGGTGAAGGACTGGTGTGTTTTTGTCTCTGCATGGTGATGCAATGTTCGGGGCACCAGTACCACTCAGAATTTCATGAGCTTTGAGAGGGGGTCGGATTTCACGTCGTATTTGTCACGTCCCGAGTGCTCTAAGCCGGTTCTCCTCCATTTCACCTACCCCTGGAATATTTTAAGGCATGTTAGAGAGAGAGAGACAGAGAGACAGAGAGACAGACAGAGATTGAGACACTGAGTAAACATGAGTGAGAGAGAGAGTGAGAGAGAGAGAGACAGACATACAGACAGAGATTGAGACACCGAGTAAACATGAGTGAGAGAGAGAGAGAGAGAGAGAGAGAGATGGAGAAAGAGAAAGTTAAAAGAGATGGTGGGGAACATGTTCCGGAAGATACTAAAGAAAGAAAGAGAGATCATACACACTCACATGCACCCACACTCATATGGAGACACAGGGATTGTGAGAGAGAGACAAACTGAAAGAGATACATTGTACAGCAAAAGATCAAGACAGAAAGAGACATGGACAGAGTAAAAAGAAAGAAAGTGATAAATCGAGCAGGAAAGATAGGTAGATAGACTGAGAAAGATAAAGAAAGGAAATAGAGAAAAGAATGGAAGGAATTAGAGCAACAAAGAAGGAAAAAGAAAAAGAAAGAGGAATTAAGCAAAACAAGAACTTCTGTTGCATGGTTAGCTGGATATTCTTTGTGTCTTTCAAAAATTTATAGAGCTAGATATATGCATTGTGGTCATAAAAGAAGGAGAGATAAGTAAATAGAACTTACAGGGTTTCATTGTATTTGATTTATTAAGTAATTTCACATTAAATTAGTAAAAAAAAAAATGGGAAATGGTTGAATAGTTTGTATGAATGCAAAGTCAAATAGATGAAAGCGGAAGAGGGGTATTGACACTTGAGCGAAAAGAAGAAGAAAAGATGACAGAGATGGATGGAAGTTCAGAAGTAATGGAAATCAAAGAAGTGGGGCAACAAGGAGACTGTTGAATTAGAAATCGTTAGAAGTGGGTATATAAGAGCTTCCCATAAGGGCTGAAAAAATAAACACTTCTCCGGAAAAAATAAAGGGAGAATTGTATAGATCTGCTGAAAGTGGCAGCGGACTACTTTGTTTTTTCCAAGGCCTGTTTTGAAAGTCCTTTGAAAGTCATGAATATGGAATTGGCTTTACCTATATAATTTGAAAGTTGCCTTCTACTTTTCAATTAACTCTTTCTAAATTCTACATAAATGATTACAGAGCCATTTTTTTTTTTTTTTTTAATTTTTTATATATAATCAAATAAATCATCTTTCTCTTTGCTCCCAGATCTTCAGTTTCTAAAGAGTCTCCAAGCAAATCCTTTATGAATTTTGTTTCTTTACTACCATGTCTGAGGATTGCTCCAGAAAGACATTTCTTTCTTACTTTTATATGGAGATGAACTTTAAACATCCCTCTATCAGGTTGACTGAACCGTCTTCCATTTTTTCTTTCTCTCAAGGTCTAGGAATGTTGCCATGAGTGTCTTCAAGCAAACTCTTTCCGACATTTCTGTTTTAACAATGCCCTGTAGCCAAAAGTTTGATGGAGTATCTTTGTTTTCTTTCATGAAGCCCTAGCAAGCTGTTTTCTTTTGAATCTTCCAAGTGAAGATTTGTCCTAATAATCCTGATCTCAATTTGACTGAAACCTTTCTTCTTTCTCTTTTCTATCAAGGTCTTGAAGAGTTTTCCAGAGTGTCTTCAAGCGGACATTTGCTTCCATCTCAATCGCAATCTCCTTTCTTTTGGATCTTCTAGGTATAGATTTTTCTTAATTATCCTGATCTCAACTTGACTGAAACATCTCTTTCTCTTTTCTATCAAGGTCTTGATGAGTTTTCCAGAGTGTCTTCAAGCGGACATTTGCCTCCATCTCAATCGCAATCTCCTCAACAACAGTCCAGCCTTCAAGGGGGCCAGTCCTGGTTGCCTCAGGGCTCTCTCTCTATGAAGTTCTGTCCTAATTTCAATTTGACTGAAACCTCTTTTCTTCTCTTTTCTATCAAGGTCTTGAAGAGTTTTCCAGAGTGTCTTCAAGCGGACATTTGCTTCCATCTCAATCGCAATCTCCTTTCTTTTGGATCTTCTAGGTATAGATCTTTCTTAATTATCCTGATTTCAATTTGACTGAAACCTCTTTTCTTCTCTAATTCTATCAAAGTCTTTAAGAGTTTCCAGAGTGTCTTCAAGTGGACATTTGCCTCCATCTCAATCGCAATCTCCTCAACAACAGTCCAGCCTTCAAGGGGGCCAGTCCCGGCTGCCTCAGTGCTCTCTCTCTATGAAGATCTGTCCTAATTTCAATTTGACTGAAACCTCTTTTCTTCTCTTTTCTATCAAGGTCTTGAAGAGTTTTCCAGAGTGTCTTCAAGCGGACATTTGCCTCCATCTCAATCTCAATCTTCTCAAGTGTAGATCTTTCTTAATTATCCTGATCTCAATTTGACTGAAACCTCTTTTCTTCTCTTTTCTATCAAGGTCTTGAAGAGTTTTCCAGAGTGTCTTCAAGCGGACATTTGCCTCCACCTCAACCGCAATCTCCTCAACAACAGTCCAGCCTTCAAGGGGGCCAGTCCCGGCTGCCTCAGGGCTCTTTCTATGAAGTTCAAGACCACTCACGCGCCACCAGGCGACACCCTCATCCATCGTGGGGACGTGTTGAGGGCGCTTTACTTTATTTCCAGGGGCTCCATTGAAATCCTGAGAGAAGATGTGGTCCTTGCTATTCTAGGTGAGTCAGCAATAATTTGACCAATAGTGTCTTAAAGCCTGTCTGCACTAGTTTGGCTAGGGGGATTAGACCACACTGCAAGGTCACTGACGGGTTGTTATCTCATCAAATCAGGTCTCAACTAACATAAGAAAGCGGGGATCACGGGGTACCAATTGTGACCGATTAGGCATTGTTTGCTATATAGAGGGCGCAAGTAGCTAAAAGTAGTGTAGTGGGGCTTTAAGTTGGACAATAGGTATCATTTACAAACAGGTACTTTTATGTTTTGATATCACATTTTCGTTTTTCTCTGTCCTTGAAATTCTGCGGGTGTAAATTATCTATTAAATTTAAGTCATAGCTTATGAGAGGAAGGTAATGGATTCTTGTAAAACACATTTTGTACAAGTCATGTAGATTTGCACTTGTAAATGTTCATGTGTTTATGAAACATTGTTCAAAATACTGAATGACATGCCATTGGGCCTAAAGCTATAAGGATCTGTAATCTATGCACATACAAACACAGTTAAATAGTGCACTATTTCCTATGATTGACTGAGTAATGACTAGGTAATGTAATAATTTACTAAAATCCATTTTCAGTTTATGCACAAGATATTCTTCCTTTTATACCATCTAGAGCATGCATTCAGAAACCTATTAACTGAATTTGTTAATTGATTTGAATAGCAACTGACCATGTGATTGTGAGAATTTTAAAATATATTTGTCTGGGGAATGTGCTTTTTGTTAATTCTCCACCACAGACAGAATACTATGGGGTAAAAAAATGATGGTGATTCATCTGTGTGTTTATTGGTTTCTTTCATCGACAGGTAAAGACGATGTGTTTGGGGAGAACATTTGCGAACACGAGATCGTTGGCAAGTCCAAATGCAACGTGCGCGCCCTGACATACTGCGACCTCCACAAGATCCTAAGAGATGACCTTTTGGAAGTCCTAGAGATGTACCCAGAGTTTGCAGAACAGTTCACCAAGAATCTAGAAATAACCTTTGAACTCAGAGATGTAAGTCCCGCCCTTTCCCGACCTTTCCCATGAAATGCATCCAGGGGGCTGTCTTATAAAGAGTTGATATCAATCGCAACTTATTTGCGATTGATATCGATCGCAGCTATGTACATAAGAGATAGGAGACTGCAAACTGCGATTGATTTGAGGACTTGCGATCGATTTGGATCAATCGCAACTCTTTGTAAGACAGGGCCCATGTGTGTCGATTGGCATGATGAATAGAGACGCCAATAAACAGGAGCTTTTGCAATTTCATGTGGCTATGCTGTATTGAAAAAATGAGCTTCAAATACTACTTCTACAAAAATTTTGATATTCATATGCGTTCTAAAAGGGAACAGTTAAACGGCTTGTTAAATAAACTAGATAATGCGTGGAGCCCAAGTCCAAAATATGAATTATTATAGCTGTCAAGATGTTTTACTATAGTGCATCCATTCATACAATACGCCCTGTGTCAAAACTATGATCATGATATAAATGTATATATGATTTATGTGATATATATGATATATATGATATATATGATATATATGATATATATATGATATATATGATATATATGATATATGTATGATATAATAATATGTATATAATACCTTTCTTTGAAATACATTGCTTTCACTCTTTCTCTCTAGGAACATGCTGCATTAGGAAAAGACCCAGAACCGGAGATTAAATCTTGCAAGATTCCAGACACAGTGCTCCACGACGAAAGAGAAAAGCCAAACGATTTCAAATACCAGCCGAAAAGTGAGATTGGTACAGTATCTTTACCTTCTTTGCTTGAAATCCCCTTCCCTTTTTCTTTCTACTAGAAATTTGTTATGTTGATTGGAAATAATTAAAGATTTGAGTTAGCACATGTCTCAGGTATTTACGAATCAAGGATTTCTTAATAATCTTCAAATTTTACGCACTGATTAGATTTGGTGCTTTGTTTTGCTTTGTTTCAATTGTTTTTAAAAGCCTTTAATTAAATGTTTTTGTGTCCACAATATAGAGTAAATTACTGTGCTTTATTTATCTGTAATTTTTTCTTATCCTTTTTTTTCTTGTTCTCTCTCTTTATCCTCTTCTTGTTCTTGTTTCCGTTCTTGTTCTTCTGCATTTTTCCTTTATATTCTTCCTCTTCTTCTTCTCTCTACTTCTTCTTCATCTTCTTCTTCTTTTTCTTCTTCTTCTTCTTTTTCTTCTTCTTCTCCTTCTCCTTCTCCTTCTCCTTCTCCTTCTTCTTCTTCTTCTTCTTCTTCTTCTTCTTCTTCTTCTTCTTCTTCTTCTCCTTCTTCTTCTCCTTCTCCGTCTTCTTCTTTTGCTTTGTATTTCTTGTATTTTTGTATAATTAACTTTAAATTATAATGTTTGATCAACTTGTTGTCCATTACCAGGTGTCATTAATAAAGATGCCACAGCACGGCGGATGAACTTTGCTCAGAACCAGTCGGGGAGCTCCGGTCACAACAGCATCCCGACCTTGGACTCCAGCGACGACGACGAGTGCGGCAGGGGCATCCTCGAATTCTCGCCCGACATGGCGGGGCGCGACGTTACCCCTGCCCCCGAGATCCTGCAGGGACACGAGGAGAACCGGAGGAGCGGTGGAGGGTTGGAAGGAGTAGGCGGTGGAGGAGGGGGAAGCAGGGGATCCTTCAACACCATTGCAGGTATAGACTCCTGCTTTCCCTCTTTCAAGGATTGGTTGAATAGGGAGCAACAGGGCGGCGCCGGCCAGGGTAAGAGGAACAATGATGTCGAACAGCATCTTGCCTGCCCCCCTGTATACACCAAGCTGTCGTTATCTAGCTAGTTTTAATTTGTACCCACGCGCTTACCTTATATATTGCACCCATAATGCCTCAGTCACACCTTTGCGTATTTGGCTTGCGTATTGCTGCATATTTATGGCAAGCTGTTTTAACATTTATTCCTATTTCCTGATATCAAGAATTACCATTGCTCTGCAACAGAAAATCATTTCATGATATCAAGAAATATGAATAAATGTTAAAACGGCTTGCCATAAATACACAGCAATACGCAAGCCGAATACGCAAAGTTGTGACTGAGGCATAAGACTCCTTGTCATAGTAGTTGCAATTCCAAGAAACTTTGCTCAAGTGTTCTGTCCCCAAACAGCACCTCCTCCCCTTCTCCTCATTGTCTACATTTATCCCACAATAACCCCCAGGCACTGTTCACTTCCATTCAATTTTCAATGCACTGATCAGCCTCAAAGATAATACTGTATACGCCAATTGAGATTATGGAAAATCGTGCATAAGGTCTTTATCCTGTTCCCATTCTCATTCTACCAAACTGTCCTCGGCTTTTTCTTATAAAGAATTGTGATTGATCTTGATTGATCCCAATCAACTGTAAACATAGAAACTTATAAAGAGAGTTGCGATTGATATCAAGTTGAGATTTGATTAGCATCATTCACAGCTTTTTATATGAGAGGACTCTGATGTTAAAGGTATTACAAAGTTTTGGTATGGGGTCATGAATTTGGTTCAAATTAAAATATTGGAAGCATATGCGTTCCTACAATATTCATTGATCGTTGTCCCAGTTGAAATCGAGTCTAAAGTTATAAAATTATAAATAATAAACTCTTTATGTTGTATAGCTCCCTCTCAAGGTCAAGATATTAATTTAGCTATGAAACAATGTCTCTTGACTAAAATCGACCGATTAGCTATTCCCGTTTGGAAATAACATATCAAAACTACATATTCTGAGATTTTCATGGTCGCAGCTACCATTGTACGGCCGTAGGCGCTATTTGAAATTTATCAAAATTTACCGGGAGCACCGGTAAATTTTTATATTCAATTTTTCTCGAAAACAGAAGTGTTTTAGGGGGTAATTTTTTTAGTGCTTATAATACATCCACGGGGGCATCCAAATATATCAAAATTGTAAAGATTCACTATCCACCCAAGTTTCAAAATTTCCCAAAACTTTGTATTACCTTTAAAGCCTATTCATGCCCCTTTAGCATCACCTATCACTCTTATATTTCAGAATACTTTTATATTCATTAAAGAATTGCAGTTGAGTTTATGTGCAGTTTCTCATAAAGTTTGCACACATTTAGATAGATCAACGAAAAGTAGTACCCCTTCCCCTTCTTAATGCCTTTTTTTTTAAACCCACTGAGTATCTTTTTAACCAAGCTATAATCCTGCATGTTAGGATATTGCTTTTCCTTCCCTTATGAAAGTGTCTTTGTAAAATATAGCAGTTAGATTGTTGAAAACTTCACTCAGAAAAATATCTCCCTCCCTGTCTTTTTTTTTTTAAACCAAGGCATGATGTTATACTAAAAGATGTATCCTTCTCTCTAAGGGCGCGTTTATGCTTCACTTTTGAGCGAATGAGCGATTTGTAACGCTCATCGTAAACGCTCATCGTAATCGCAGTTCCACGGTGTACTGTTCATGCTCACTTCTCTGGCTCCTACAGGCAATTCTCCGTGTGTGGCCTTAATTGGTATTCCAGCTGGATTCGCAAACCTTCACTGTGCATGCTACGTAGACCCACTAGAGGTCAGTGCGTTGACCCCATTTAAACGCTTTTACAAATTGTAAACGCATGTTTTTGTGAGTTTACGATCGGCGATCATGATCGCCGTTTTTTCGGTGATTCTACAAAAGTGAGCATAACGCGTAACAGATGCCTGATTCTGGCCAGAAAAAATGAAGCATAAACACGCCCTAATACCAATCTCTATTTTGGTTCTACAACACTTGATCTGGTGACAAATCCTCTGTTGCCAGTTCTTGCACTAACTGGATTGCTAATTTCAATCAAGGATCAAACAGTGTACCAAATATGAACCCTAACCCTACCCCTAACCTAATACCAAATTGCGAAGGTAACTGTAGCTATATGGCTTTGACAAAATACAGCCCAGAAAAAATGTTTCCAAGGGAATGTCGGGTCACCTCTATTTTTGAATGTTTTAGCGGATTATACCACTTTCAAAGTTTCTTTGAAATTGGGATATCGCTTTTCACTAGCACCATGTATAAACTGTGCCGGAAGACCAGGCACTTTTCACACATTCCCAGTTCTATCTTGAATGATATTGGTTAATGTCTTCCAACTCTCAGCAAATAAACTGCATCTTACTATATTATTCTCAAGCTATGTGAATAACACAAATATATCCAGCACTTCCTTCTTCTTTCCACTCTTTGTCGCCGACCTTTCCCCAGTCTACTCTTACATCATATATACAATGTATATTCCTTTATTCATACAGTGACGCATATAGCACCTAGCATTAACTTGAAGTCTATACTTTAATCAGGATGATACAAGCTGTAGTAGCAAAATAGAAAACCATTTGAAAATTATCTCAAAGCACATCTTCCTTATACCTCTTTAGAAATTATGATAGTTTATATTCTTGATGTATTCTCAGAAGATCATAGTGAAATGTTAAGTAATACATTTACCACGTCCATTACAAGTCACAATCAAATTGCCACTGACTTTACTTTTCATGCATGAATTATGAATTCTGTTCATTTATTTGGTAAAATATACTCATGTACATTCATGCAAGTATTCTGGTTGTAATGGCAAACTGAGCAATTAGGTCTACTTGCCGTGCTGTTTTCCTGTTGACTCTAATGCAGATTTGATTGAAAAATATGAACATACATCTTCATGTAGAGGAATATTTAGCATACAAATATGATGACGTTAGGATGGTTTTATATACATATTTCCATGCATGTGCTAACTGATATGGAATGGATGAAGCATGAAAGCACAACGATTTTTCCTCCATGTTTGTGTGATGCCATAAAGAAACTTTTCCTTGCACTCACCCTTTCTACTGTCTTTCTTAATCTTCTATCTTCAACCAAATTTTGCTTTCTTTCTATCTAATACCTTGATAGATACTTAGATTCATCTTTGATTATCTGTCTACTATCTGCCCTTCTGAACCTCATATAAAATAATACTCAACCTATTGTAATGATCTTTTATATTTTTAATTATATCCTAATTATTATTATTTTTTGAATAACCTTTCTTTCCTCCCTATATATTTGTTTATGAAATAGATAAATCTAGTTATGATATATAGTTTTAGGGAATACCGCCCTATTCTCCCTGCTTTTAAATGCTCCGATGTAAACATCATCATTTCTTCAAACCCCCTTTTCATAATATGGTAATTGTTTGCCTTATACATATATTCAGTAAACTTAATATTTATATATATGATATGTAGTACTAAGCATGTGTTAATTATTCAAAGATATACTTATTTATTCAACACTCAGAGGAAATATATATCAACACTCAATCTTTTCTTTACACTTCTTTCTAATTAAGTTCTATACAATTTCTTTCCTATTTCTCCATCATTTGCACGTCACAAATTTCAGTTCACTATAACCCCAAGATAACTGCATGGCTGTGTATGATTGTCACAATAATTCATGTACTTATTATTGTATATGAAACAAATATTTATCAATTTGTTTGAATGATTCATTTTTAACACAGTAGAGCATGTTAATAAAATGAGCAATGGTGGAGTGAAGACAAAAAAATAGACTGTATATTATTTTGAATTATCTTACATTTTCATAAGATTGAAGTATTTGCAATTGCTTGACAAGGTACACAGTATAGCCATGACCATGTAATCATATGTGTATCATTGCCTGCCTGCCCATATCATAATCATTTCTTCTCAATCTTTACACTTTATCAAGCCTTTGAATTTTAGTTTACTTTTATTATTTGAACAAATCATTTGGGTGTCTATTCTATTTATACATCTCAGATTTTAGATAGCAGCATACATTGTAGAGGTTTCTTCTTCTCGATCTTTACAATTGATCAAGCGTTTGAATTTTCATTTACTTTTGACATTTAAACATATTATTTTATTGGATTTCTATTCAAATTATACATCACATCAGAGATTTTAGATAGCAGCATACATTGTAGAGGTTATGCCTGGCATAGGGAAATGCAGTTTAATGCAGACATCCATGTACATTTACTTCTTTATAAATGCAAAATAAGAGTTGGATGATTTCCTGCAATGCCCATGCTATCCTCTTGTTTGTTTCTTTCTCCCTCTCTCTCTCTCTCTCTCTCTCTCTCTCTATAGATATATACATGTATATATATATATGTATATAACTATATCTTGTTCTTTGTATCTCTATCTCTGCGCTCTCTCTCTCTCTCTCTCTCTCTATATATATATACCTCTTCCTTTGTATCTCTATCTCTGCTATTTCTCTATCTTGTTCTCTCTCTTTTTGTTCACTCTCTCATTCTGTCTATGTGTTCTCACTTTCTCTCACTTTCTCTCTCTTTCTCTCTCTCTTTCTCTCTCTCTCTTTCTCTCTCCTTTCCTCTGTCTTTGTTATCTTTCTCTCTTTCCCTCTTTATTATATTATGCTAAGACATATGAAGTTTTCATGGACGATAATATGGAAATCATCAAGTCTACATGACACAAAATGACATTTGTATCCTGATGCAAAGCAATCTCTGCAGATAATACCAAATTTCATTAAAATTACTAAAAACCATTGTATTTATGCACATCAAATACATGCATATCAATGTATGCAAATCAATTTATGCAGATCACTTCCAACTGCACCAATGTTTTTTTTAAAGCATTTTGACATATCCAGAGATGGGACGGGTGGGGGGGGGGGGGGGGGCTGATGTAGCTAGGCAACTCTGTGATGCTGTAGACCCATTGTACGGTCATCATTTTTACCCTGGGCCTTCACGGAAGAGCGAGGGGGGGGGGGGCGGCAGCTGGCTTTATACTGGCTTTAATGGCTGGAGCATCATAGTAGGTCTATGGCTAGAGACACCAATTTGACAATGTGACTATACTCCCCTAATCTTTAAAGGGAGTAATACTCCCTTTAACCCATGATCTAACGTACCAGGCATTTCTCGTATTAAGTCTATGGGAAGTATAAAGAGAATTCATGCTTTAACGGGTTAATTTACTTTCATTTACTTTAACTTGCTTTAAATTACTTTTTATTTTTATCTTAATCGCTGGTTATTTTCTGCACTCCTAAAGAAGAAGGGATTCATCTGATTCCACTTGATATTGCACATAAAGAGAATTTATTTTTCAACGGGTCAATTTACTTTCATTTACTTTAAGTTGCTTTAAATTACTTTTTATATTTTTATCTTAATCACTGTTTATTTTTTGCACTCCTAAAGAAGAAGGGATTCATCTGATTCCACTTGATATTGCACAAACGCCACCTGCCTCCGTAGGACCTAGAGGTAGAACTTCATTTTATGGAAAAGCATGTAACTTAGCTTAACCTTTCGATTGCCATGACTCCCAAAATGGTGCAATCACAGGCTTGTCGAGTGTGCTAAATGGCACACACAGTATAATCATTAATTCTAAAAAGGATTGTAGTACCAGTATATATTCCAAAAGTTGTATGAGGACCCATTTCTGGATTCTGTTTCATAAAACCTGTTATCCATGATCACTTACAATAACTGTTATAAGCTACTGAAATCCATGCATTTAGAAATAGAAAATAGAGATAAATGGGTCCCTAGATGTTGGGATTGTGTGCTAGGTAGATTACTAATTCTTGACTTTAAATCTTTCACATGGTTTGGTTTTAATTAAGGTCATTATTTATAATTTAGGTCATTATTTATTTCATGCCCTTCCGGAGAGGGGAGGGTTCTGTTATCACCTCTCCATCGAAAAGTGCCTTGAACACAAAGAAACCAATGAATAGACTAATTTTATCTTGTGTGTTTCAGAAATAGAGAAAAAAAAATTTAAAGGTGAATTTCTCTTTTTGAGCACTGAGTGATAACTTTTTCCACTAAAATTGGTAAATAGGAAAACTGTAAACTCCCTGTTTTAATAGAAAAAAAGTTGATATGGGCAGGCTAGCATTTAACTTGTTGATTGCATCCCGATTGGATGAACGTACTCAGAAATACCAATTGCACATGATTTTACATTTAACATGAATGAAGATCAATCAAAGCCATGTATTGAAATAACCAAACTATAAACTCCAGATAATATGTCTCTGAAGGCAAGGTTAAATTCAGTTAGGAATGGCAGTTTAATATACATACAAGAGAAGGTAAGATACATGTTGCAGTTGAAATGTCTTTATTTCACACTTGCTTATAATTTATTTATATTTTTTTTAAATTTCATGTACAGGTGCATTAGCTGGAGTCAACAGTATAGTGAACGCCGTTACAAATACAAGAGGAATGAGCCCAGAATCGTCTCCGATCATGAAGCGGAAAGCTCGTCACTATTCCAATAACCAGAACGGGAAGAACGGCCAAAGAGGCTCCCAGCAACCAGATATCATCGTAGAGGATGTGAGCAGCTTTGTGTCTAACCCGGATATTGAGAGGCGGTTAGATGACCTCCAGCGGCAGATGAGCCGCTTGGAGGTCAAAGTGACGGGCGACATGAACTCTATCTTGGACATTCTTCACAGGATGCATCAGATGTACCCATCGCCTCCCCAGCTGCTGCCGAGTCGCGTCAGGCAGCAGCGTCCGACCCTCCCCCGCATGCGCACCGCCCCCTCCCACCCCAACACCTCGCACAGTTCCAGCTCCCCAGAGAGGAGCATCCTCAAAACCCACAGCACGGACTTCCCTGCTCCCCCGCACAGCAAGAGCAGCTCAAGGCATGCACGAACTTCGGCTCGAAGTGAGCCCTCATTGACGGGGAGCAGTGGGGTGGGACGCCCGCCGCAGGACCCCCGGGATGGAGGGGTATCGTCGCTGGACAGTCCGGAATCGGTGGAAGACGGACCAGTCAGCAGACGGAGACCAAAGCCTCCGGAAAGCCTGATCCTGTCGTCGTTGTCGGACGTCTCTGTAGATAGTCACAGTAGTATACACTCCGAGGAGGCCCCCGTCTCCTCGCCTCTTTTCACTCAACCTGGACACATACCAAAGAGCAGCTCCATGCCTGCATCAGGCTCCACCAGGATCTCATGGAATGGAGCTGAAGGAGACTCCTCCACCACCAGTCCGCCAATCAGAAACACCGATGTATAGCGGACCCTAGGTCACGATCCTAACCGACCAATCAGGAACCCTGATATATAATGCCCAGAATCATGGTTGTAGCCGATTATAAAGCAGGAATGCTGATGTATAGGCAATCCTAGGTCATGGTCACAAGCGACCAATCAGAAACTCTGGTGTATAGGCAACCCTAGGTCATGGTCACAACTGACCAATCAGGAACCCTGATATAACACCAAGAGTCATGGTTGTAGCTGACTAAGCAGGAATGATGATGTACAGGCAACCCTAGGTCATGATCACAACTGACCAATCAGAAACTCTAATGTATAGCCAACCCTACATGTTGTGGTCGCAATTGACCAATCAGAAACTCTGATGTACGTGTATAACCAACCCTGAACCACGGCCAGCCAGTCACCTAAAGTGCATGTATTGGTGAAGCAAAGTAGGAACACCAAGATTTGTTTCTGTAATACCACAATACACCTGTAACCCTGTTGCTGTTTTTAACAAGCAAGATGAGAATTTGTGGTTTATGGAGCTTGCACTGAGAGACAAACAAATTTGATTATTTCAATCATGTTTTTTACCAACAACTTGCTGACTTTTTTTTCCTCGATTTTTCTAGTATTAAAAACAAAGAATGATTGGCATGTTGTCTGAATGCAAATAGTTGAAAGAGATAGAAATTGTGAAATAATGGAGAAAAAACAGATTTGTGAAGGCTTTGGCAAGGGTTTGAACAATTCAGCCTCCTAGGGATATTCAGCATTCCCTCTGTGGTGGAGATTGAACTATTTATAATAAGGCGTAAAGAAATGACAGTCTGTCTATTTGAATTCGTCTCTGTGTGACAAACAATGCACCTGTTGTAGAGGTATATTTAAAGAGTTTGAGAGCATTCACCGTTATCGTTATGTATCCCGTACGGAGAAGGTAGCGGGATATGTGTGAGGAAATTGTGTGAATTTGACAAATTTGAAAAAAGGGCACTGCTATGTCATGCAAAAAGTGCATAAAGCTGGCGATATATACGGAAAAGGGTTCGTGGTGAGATAAAAACAGATAGTTATGACAAATAGAGTATACCAATGTACTTGTTAAAATTAAAAGAGAGTATATAAACGCATGTACATTGACCATGAACCTGTTATGCTCTTTGTGTACCGGTAATAGAAGGAGGGTTAAACCTCACATTAACATTATGTCGGCGCGAAAAGTGGAAAAAAGAACAAAGCACAGAGTAAGCCAATGAATGGTGACAGGGGGAGGCAAAGATTCAGCAAGTTTTAAAGTCATTTTAATGTCAGTGTTTTGACAAGTTTCTGAAAGATGGTTTACTTAAAAGTTGTATTGTTCAAAGAAATGGGATGGTTTTGCAGAAATTAGAAAGAGGAGATGAGATTTAAAATGTAGGTTATTGCATAAAGATCACGATTTAAAGTCTAATTGAAAGATCTAAAGGAACACTTTTTTAAAGATGACATGTTTTTTAATTCAAGTGATGCAATTGGTGCATGTAAGTGGCAGAAATATTTGTAGGAATGAATAATACATCATTAGTACTATGATAATGCAACTACATGTAATTAAAAATTTTAAAAAGAATGGCCCTTTGTTATAGATCCATCATTTTTTATGATTAAACCATACATAGGTCCAAAAAAGCTTCAATAGTTTAAATTAACTAACTGATTTCTTCGACAAAGTTATCATCTCTGCATGTTTCATTTTAAATGTGATTTGATCTATGCGTCTTTCTTAGTAGCATTTAGTTGTTGCTTTTCCTTTAGTAGTGGATGTTTTTAAGACATATAGTGATTTTTTATAGCATAGTGATTTTTCAAACTAGATGGAAGACTTCTAATAACTGGCCATGCCATACTTTTTACCATTCAGAAATGATAAAAATTCAGAGAAATAGGTGGTCATACATTCCTTGCACGTTTTATTTGTTACTTGTTTTTATGTGTTTATTAGTGGTCTTACTCTGTTCGTAATACATGTCGTAAACATATCACAAATACCGGCATCATTTAAACTGGTGATCCCCTTCTTATCCACAGAAATGCAGAATAGTGTTAAGGATCATACAAGAGAACATACACAATTCTGATACCCCACAGCACTGCCAATCGAGATATGCTAGCATATATCCCTTAAATAATGTAGTATCCATTGTTGATTTACTCACACATAATACTTCAATTTTCTCAGTGGTAATTCTCTAAGAAAGTGGGATTATGTTCTTAAACTCACAGTGGCTGAAACAACAATGCTGAAATGATATATTCTAGTTTTGCCTTGTATAAAAAGCCTGCTCTGTGCAAGATGTAATGAAGATATATTCCATCATCATTTGATTGCTTCAATTATTATTGAGATGTCATGCACATATAAAGTGGCCTGACTTTAATGTTTGTCATATATCATGTCTGTATTGCACTACATTTTATTAAGCCATGCATCATAAAAGAACTATGTATTTTGATGTACAAGTACATTACATGTACATGTATATACTTGTTTAACAATAAAAAGGTTGGATCTGTGTGTATTTTATTGGATCAGTGCTAATCTTGCACTTGTCTCACTATCAGAGCACATACATTGCATAAGGAAGCACTGACATAGATAATGTGATGTAACACTAGTAATTCTCAATTTTCTCAGTAAAAAAAATGATATGCACTTGATATATTTTAAAAAGCTGACGTGTATGTTACAAATGTGCAATGCAGTTTTCGCTGGTCATTGCGCTCTAGCGTATCCAATTTACAAGCATTTCGCTACACATGTGCTAAACAGCTACAGTATATCATGATTGAAATTAAAATATATCTTTTTCAATCGTGAATAAAGATATTGTAACTACGTGTAGATGGCATAAAGTATAATAGCTTTTGTCTTTGATTTCTTGAATAAGAATATGAAGGAGAAAAAAAAACCATATATCACTACAATTTGTACCATCCTGTTATGGACAAGCTATACTTAGTTTTATTATGTTACAATTCTATCAGTCATTACAAGAAATGTATCCACATTTTGTGATGTATTGCTCATTTTTTTTCAAATCCCTCCCTAGACATCCTGAAAAAATATATAAAAGATTTGAGGGAGATAGAACATAGCAATATAACAATGATTTCTCATGGAGATTAGAAATACAGGCCAACTATTTTCTCCTTGGAATTTTCTATGCCACATATAGTTACATTTTTCAACTTTAGTATATTTGCAATACCTTTCTATTTGACCTTCTATTTGACCTTCTATATATTTCTGTGGAAATATATAACACTTTATCCTGAGGGTATTCTTTTCAATCCTTTAGCTACGATTCAATGATCGGGAGATATATTTGTCTTTACACTTATACTATATAAAATTTCAGGTAGATAGCTTTGTCCTTCCTCCAGATTCTGAAAAAGAGAATTTGTTAGACAATAAAATATGCCTACTTGTAGCTTATTCCAACCTATCTCTTCTTTTCATGAAAAATAATATAAAAATATGGACATGTTATCCTTCTTTATACCATGTTTTATTCTGGATTTCCGTGCATATTTATCTCCAGTAATCACTTTTTTAAACTCAAGCATTACAAATTCTGTATGCATTGCATATATCCGTGTAACTATATCAACCATTGATACAAGCAATTTTGTAATATTATATAAAGTGTGTGATATTTTGCTATTGGCAGGAAGAGGTTGATTCATATTGTATATTATGTATTTGGAATACATGTTTTAATTATGTCAACACAATATTTAAGCACAGTATTGCAATGTAGCATCTTATAAACCAATTTCTTTTTATTTCGTTAGAGTGATTATATCAACCATATGCAAATGTATGGAAAATGTGATCAGGATGAATTGATGCAGCACAAAATTCCATAAGTATTTTCTTGTGGTAGATCAAATTCAGAAAGGGTATGATTAACTGAGGTTATGAAAACCTGTCTTGAGGATACACCAGTTGATAAACATATTCAATATTCCTAAATCTTCATCTTTATCCTAAACTGTGCCATCACTATCATCATTGATCATTATCATCATCATCATCATCATCACCATCATCATCATCATCATCACCATCATCATCATCACCATCATCATCATCACCATCATCATCATCATCACCATCATCATCATCACCACCACCACCACTACTACTACCACCAGCACCACCAGCACCACCACCACTGTCATCAGCAGCATCATCATCACCTTCCCCACCACCACCACCACCAGCCCCAGCAACACCACCACTGTCATCATCATCATCATCATCACCTTCACCACCACCACCACCCCCAGCAACACCACCACCACCACCAGCAACACCACTGTCATCATCAACATCATCATCATTATCATTATTATCATCCTCAACATCATTATCTTCATCTCCACTACCATCCTCATCATCATAATCACCACCATTGTCCTCATCATTACCATCATACCACTGTTATCACCCTTTGCCAATCTATTTGCTATAGAGAAATTGAGGTAAAGGTAATGCAGGCTTGTGGAAATAACCTACAAAATTGTCAACTGTTATTCACAGGGTAATGTTAAAAAATTACAGCTTTGAGGAAAATATAATTTGGGAAAGATAGTGGGATTGTAAATATCATTCGATCATTAATACAAAAAGAAAAAAGATCCTTAAAGCATGGATAAGACCTACCTAGATACAATTTCGGACAGTAAGAATTAAAATTGTGTCAGCAGTGGTTCTTTCAAATATTGGAATAAATATGATTTTTTGGCCCCCCCCCCAAAAAAAAGCTGCTGTTGTGGAAGACTGTTCTTCACTTAGAACCTTTGCAAATGGTCACATCTTTCTTTCCCTTCAGTTGTATACCTCAATATTATCAATGAGCATCATTCAGAAGCAAATTTGTTTTTTTAAACCATATACTTATGAATATTTTTTATCACATAATGGAACTTACACATCAAAATGAGGTACAGATTACGTCAATAATATTACAGAGACAGACTATTATCAATTTTCTAATCTATGTATAGAATAGCCACTTGATGAACTCACTGCGGAACTGTGCTAAAGTAGGCTTGTATATGCAGTTCTATTTGTTATAACTGGATGAACTCTTTATAGTCCCGAATTAAGAACATCTAGCCCTTCTTCGGTTGTGGATGCCTGAAATTTTGGCTTTGTTTGATAAAAACCTGCTATCAATAACAATTTACGATCACTGTGAAAAGCTACTAATATTGTGGCATTTGATTAGCTGAGGGGAAATTTGTTGTAGTAAGTTAGCGTTCGCTATTGATATCAAGTTTGATGACAGGGCCCTTATTGTACAGCAAAAAGAGGTATAGTCAAGATTGATCATTTTGTCATAACTGATATTGCCGTCACACAAACGAGACTGAAACAATACCAATACCAGACCAAACGTGACATTACATTGCCTCCAGTTGGTCTGTTTGAAGGCAATGTGGAGTTGGTTTGGTGGTGTTACAGAGTTATAATCGTGACAATCACCGTTTTTTAAAAGCATTATGACTTTAGGTACATTTTTTCTATATCTTACAGTACCAGTAATTCTACAGGTGTATTTATGTACAAACATTTTTGAAGTATCATTATTGAACCAGACCTAAGATTGCTTGAAAAGTTAAATGAGAATCCTGATTGCAACCAAAGTTATTCTTTAAGGATGCCTATGCAAAATTTAGTGAAAATGCAGGTCACTTTGTTACAATTAATTGTATTGTGCATTAGTAGATTCTATTGTGTTTATTTCTTTTGGTACATTGTCCTATTTCAGCCTATTTTTTTAATTTTAGAATTTAGGCATTTAAATTTGATCTACAGTAATACATAATAGTTTTTCTTTATTCAAGTGCTGTATAAACGTGCTTCATATAAACGATGTATTATCAAAATTCATTTAAATTTCCAAAAGATAGGGTAGATTGTAAATCGACAAATATGAATATCATGAACTAACAGTGTATTTTCAAAAAGTATGGTACCCAAATCCTACTCGTACCTAATTGAACCAGGTAATCCCTGTATTATAACTTTTGGGAATGGGTTCACTCTGTAGTTCAAAGGTTAAGACTTGATTAGAATGTTACATACCGTCTTTCATTTTAGAAGTAAGATAACATTTATTTAATGGTTTATTAGTATTAAATTAAGCCCCTTCACCCTCAAATCCCTTATGTCGATAGTCTTGAAAGCAAACTTACTTTAGCCCAGGTCTAATCACAGGCTATAAGGCCAGTCCTCAACATGTATTACTTGTAAGGGTATCAATAGATTGGTCTTCTGAGGTAGAGCATATAATAATATGACTGAATTTTTGTACTATTTTGTGTAATATATTACTTGATCTGTAAGGTGTAGTGAATAATAAGATATACATTTATATGTAATTCATGATCGAATTGTACTACGATAGTAAAATAATTTGACGAATATAAAGCATAATGGAAGCAATTTTTACTTTAGAACACAAAGTTTAAAAAAAATCATCTTTTTGTCACAAATGATTGTTTGTCTGTGTGTTTGGGCATTTTGTCTGTGTGATTGTGCAATCATGTTCTTGCCCGTAATCGATAAAGTGGTATTAATTTGAATTTAGGAGTTGCTCATCATTGTCACATGTTCAGTGCAATGTCACCTTGTTATGTTTCTTCGATTTTGTGTTTTGAAAAATAATTGCCATGCAAAACCCTTAATTTTGTCTAGTTTTATCTGAAGTGCTGTTGATTTCATAAATTGCTATTTGTATCATTACATTCCCTCAGCACCCCTGAATAAAAGTAAATCAGTCTTGTTTGTTTATTTATATTTTATTGATGTGTTCTAATGAGAACCATCCCATTCTGTGTTACGGGGGTGAGGGGGGGGGGGGGTCCTAGGAAAGATCACTTTACGTTCATGGTTATTTTTCTTTAGCAAATTGTTGTGTTCCCTGCCCCTCCATGTAGTGTGTAGTTGTCTGGGAGTTTATTTCAAGTTTTTCAACATTTCATCAAGAAGTGATGTTTTATATTTGTATGAAGGATATTGTCATTCACTATGAGGCAATCTATTCTATTGGAAGTGTGCTACATGGTACATACTTATCTCTGCCATAATAATCCGTTTTCAAGTTTGTATTTTTATTGTCATTCAGAAGATTGTGTAAGATGAGAGAAAGTATGGCACTTCCATTTATCTATTGCATAACTAAAACTAGCCACATGCAATTTTTTAAATGAAAGAAAACGAGCGAGAGTGAGCGAGAAGCAAATTTTACTGTACAGCTTGTATATAAATATTACGTATGACGTGTATTGTAATTATGTGCTTCATTCGATTGTATATCAAAGCAATTTAATGATAACAAAATGTTACCAAGGTTTTCTTTTTAATATGGTAGAGAGTAAAAATGCAAGCGTTTTTACACAACCTCATGTTTCATCTGGTATTTCTTGCTTGTACTGTACTGTGCGAGTCAAAAAAAAGTTTACACCTAGAAAATTGCTAATTATTTTTAAAATCATTTATGAACCGTAAAATATTATACCTCTTATGAAAGAGTATTTTATGCCAAATCATTTGGTACCACTTTTGTGTGATATGTGTTCACGCTTGGATGAACAGTAGGCATTGTTTGCGAGAGTGCAAAAATCGACTTGCGCCAAAGTTATGCCTACAGTGTGTATTATGTTGGCATTAGCGGAGTGAGAGAATGAATTGAATGTATCAAATGAAATGCATTACATATGCTTTTTCGCAGAAGCAAATTCACACACGCACGCATAAAATGTTCGTTGATATTCGATATTTGATATGTGTGGCATGAATAATCTTGTTAGGGATGTTATTTGGATCTGCAAAGACCGAATTAATACCCAAACCCCAATTGTTTTATCCAAACATCACATAAGCAACTTTGGCGCAAGTCGAATTTTGCACTCACGCAAACAATACCTCCTGTTCATCCAAGCGTGAACATATACCACACAAAAATACACCAAATGATTTGGGATAAAACACTCTATCATAAGATGTATAGTCATTTAATGTTCACAGATGATTCTTTAAAGGTACTATGTCCCTTTTGCAGCCAACCTCAAATGCTCTAGACCTTCGCAGGAATTATGAATACGTCATGTATGTCCTATCTGTGAAATTTAAACGTTAGCAGTGTCCTCATATTCAAATTATACAAGGAAACCCGTTTACTTGCTAGACTACACTGTCAGACACTATTGAGTGACTGACTGGCTTTTTTTCTTCTTTGGTAATAACATACATGAAAAGAGTTGGAAAGGGTACATGAGCATTTGTCTACATCAATAACCCACTTCTTGTGATGGTCAAGATTAAACAGATTGAATCTTTGCGCAGCATAAAACGTATGACCATTCGGTACAATTGTCTGAAAATCAAGACTATTACTTTTGGGCTCTATAGCCCTAAAGTCGATTTGACAACTAATAGTCGTTATTTTCCCACTTGAAGACATTTTCAAGCCCCACCTTTTCTAGGGAAGTTCTAAATTAGTATTATCTTTCAAATGCAGTTGGAATTTAACTTTTTCATTTTTTTGGCCTGCAAATGGGACAGAGTACCTTTAAATAATAAGCAATTTTTTAGGTGTAAACTTTTTTTTGACTCACACTGTAGTTTACTTTGGCAGTAAGGCCAAATAACAAAATGAAGTGTTTCACGTCCCCGCCTGCCTCCTTTTTGGCCGCCTCTTTCTTTTTACTATTTACTATTTACTATTCAGGAAAAGAAAAGGGGAAAAAGAAAAAAAGCTGTGATATACATTTTGTTTAGAAAGCTTCTAAAGTGATATGAATCATTTGTTTTGTCAAACATTGCATCAGTATACTCGCATAGCACAATATCAGTGAATGAATAGACTTGGCCAGCTATAACTAGCATAGCAGCCATCTTTGATTAAAATAGTAATGCCCTACGTCCTCCTTCTTTGTTTAAATTCCAGACGAGAAACACATTATTTTTGTTATTTGGCCTAATAGAAGAGAGTTGCTTGTATGGGGGAGGGGGGGGGGGGGGGGGGGGGGGGACATGTTGTGGTTGCTGGATGAAAAGAAGATTGAAGGGTGAAGATATATATTGGATAGAGGGAAGGATGAATATACGATGGACACACAAACAGAAGGAGTGAATAGTTAATGCCTCTGTCACACATTTGCGTATTTGGCTTGCGTATAATTGCTGCGTATTTATGGCAAGCCGTTTTAACATTTATTCCTATTTCTTGATATCAAGAAATGATTTTCTGCTGTAAAACAATGGTTATTCTTGATGTCAATAAATATGAATTAATATTAAAACAGCGTGTCATAAATACGCGGCAATAAAGAAACCCAACTACGCAAAGATGTGACTGAGGCATTAGTGTAACAACACTTTTTTCCAATACAAAGCAGCATTTCAGTGCAGGACTTGTTTATTCATACCAATTCACAATGATCATAACATGACAACATTTTCTCAAGAAAAATATTTGGTCAAGGTAAAATATGATTCGTTCCTCTTCGAGGATGAAACCTTCAAATCTGTCTCTATGTGCCTCTACCAAAGTGTGCCTAGGTCAGGCCTGATAAAACCTGATTTAAATCGGTTTCCCGATTATTATTTTTTTTCCCGATTTTTTTTTTTTACCAATTTTTTTCTTCTTCCCGATTTTATTGTGATTTTCCCGATTTCCCTCTTATTTTTCTATTCTTCCCTATCTTGCCCTATTTTCCCCAATTTTCTTACTCGATAGGGGGAATGTTGTTGGGTGCCATTTTCCCCGCGAATCCTCTTTTTTATTTTCCTTTACTCAAGGGGGGGGGGGGGGGCGTGGTTGAGGGGAAAACAAAAAACCTATTTTTTTTTAGTGCTCACTATCACCCCTGGCCTAGGTGCTATGCTATACTAATATTGATAAGTAAATCGATTAAAAAACATCAACATTACACGTTCTATGATACAATTCAACAACATACATGACGTACAGTGCAAAAGTTAATCCTTTATCTTAATTTGCCAAATAAACATTCAGAAATTAAAACAATAATACAATATTTTATGGAACGCAGAGTAAGCGGCTAGTTTCTCTATGCACTGTATATGCGAGCAAGATGTGGAATATATTACATATGAAAAAGTACCAAATACTAATCAGGGTTAAATATACTTTAAGATACTGTGTCATGAACGAGTAGCATTAACACTATTACAACTACATGTATTTCCGAAAAAGTAAACTATTTTTTAATAGAAAAAATTAATAGTTTAAAGACAATTTCAGTACTTTGTAAATGTAATGGAGAAACAAACCGTTGAGGTTAAAAAATTAAAAAATTAATGTCTTAAATTCATTAAAGCCACACTGTACTAGAAGCAATATCGCTGCAGCAGGATGGTTCCATAACTCGGTGCGCTGATGGTCTTCGCATCGAGTCCTCTTTCTGCAATACAGTTCAAGGTTAGCACATGTCCCAAATGACCCCGAATATCCACAGATCTTTAAAACATGAAGAGGTCTCACTTTGTACAATATGAAATAATCACTTCTACAGCGATGGAGGTGCAACATAAATAGCCTTTATTTATCCTTTTCAAAGAATACTTCCACCTGTGTATCATGGAGTGCACTGCCTGTGCATGAATGAATAATTAGTACATAACTTTCACGAGCACGTATCCAGTATTTTGTCTCGGTGTATTTCACAATTTAGTCTGCAATGACCTTTGTCTGCTCATGCTCAGACTATGATTATGTGTTGCGTTTGACTCGTAGCTTGACATAAGGCTGCATGCACGCTACCGTCATAGTGCTTTGTACATGCGATGCGAGAGAGCCATTGCTTTAGTGCCTTGTACATGCTTGCACGCAATCGTAATAGCAGTTATTGTTCATGCTCATTGGACTGTGCTGTGTGTTTTGCACGAGCTATTCATAGAACCATCGCGTTAATCAGATTATCTCAAAATAAACTTGGCATGGAGGGATTTGGGGCTTGGCACAATGGGGATTATAACCCTGTGGCATAAGATAATTAGATAAGACATGATACGGCATGTTGGCAAATTGACCATGAGATAGCGCTGTGTAATAAACTGTACGCTGGGGCAGAAAGTTCATCAGTTCAGCATCGCTTTAAGCACTCATCGAAATCAAGATACACATATTTACATGAAACAGAGAAAAAATAAACATCATGCTTTCAAATCATTAATGCATTTACAACGTGAGGTAGTCTACTAAATTATTGCATTTGTATCTCGTGTTTACATTATATATACCTCATGTCATGACTTATTTGATGTAAATAAGCAGAATATTCGTATGGATCTATGAAGTTTAAAGAATCTAATATACAAATGAATTTATGATCAAAAATTAAGAAAAAGTTCACAATTATTCGAAGACAATATCGAAACTAAATGAATAAAGCAAACCAATAATAACGGTTCAACAATTAAAAAAAATTTAAATATAGAAAATCACGAAAAGGCCCATGACGTCGGTATAATTCATGCAACTTGTAGTCATTTCTCCTTCTCCTTCATCGGTGCATTATTTGACAGAACATTAAGAAAATTCGAAAAGAAATCTCTGAAAGTTCCGCGATTTCCCTATGCTTCTATAGCAGTATCTGACATATGGTGAGTATTTCAAAGTCGCACTGGAAGTCCGCCCAACCTTTCAGTGTAACAGCCACACAGTTTTCAAGGGAACCACCATTCGGAGAACCACGGAGCCAACCTGAAATATAAATTTGTTTTCATGATAAAAATGGGATGAAAAACTATTAGTCTACAGGCCATTAGGCAACCTCCCCCCCCCCCCCCCCCCCCATTAAAAACATTTAATGATTCAGTTCAACATAATTCATTGTTTTATAGTTGTGGCAATTTTCGTCTATTATTTCTGTACTGAATAGTTATCGCGTTGTCTACATAACGCATAATCGTAAAGCGATCCTTATGTTTAAAAAAAAATATGTAAACAAATAATTTTAATTAAAAACAATCTTACTGGTTGTATTCGGGACAGCTCCTGTGCCATCTACGTAGTGCCCTTCGGCTTGTATGTCGTTGAGGTTGATCCATACGTAATGTCCTAAGTGCCTGATGTGTTCGTCCAATTTGTCTTCAAAGAGGAGAGACGTACGTGTCTTGTCTCCTGTAGCCGTGCTTATCGGTCTAAGAGAGAGGCAGAAGTCGTGGGCCTCTTGCCAAGGTTGAAAAGTATAACCTCGATAGCACTTCGAGGACGTGCATGTCCACTCTGACTCTACGGAAATAACAAAATATAGCAGAAGATGAGGCACTCTATTCGGTTTGAAATTCCGCGCGAAACATTTGACCCGCTGACCTTTGCAACCCCAAGCAACAGGAGCGGTCTAGCTCGTAAGTGAGAACGAAGCGAACCTCTGGTCAGGAGCGATCCACTGCATGGATCGGTCTAGCCTAGATAGTTGTAGATCCACTGGATCCAGAAAGAATTAGACCAACCAGCGTGGTCACTGAGAGGTGGTTATCTCATCAACTCAGCTCTCAATTAAAATAAGAAAAAGAGGATCATGGGGAACAACGGCCACTCTTAGGCATTGTTTTCTATATAGAGGGAGTATAAAAATAGCTACAAGTAGTGCAGTAGGGCTTTAATATTGTATGGAACAATTATGACTATTAATCCCAATTATATCTCTACTTCTGCCTAGACGCACCATTTTCCCTCGATCCCTACGCACGGTGATTCAAATAGGCCTATATCTTAACATGATACGTGTACATGTCCAAGACGCCGAACAAGTGGCGACCCGATGGTTTCAGGGTTTATTTCCTCAAAAATGAAGGGTAGGGTTACAATTTGGTTTCAGATTGATTTAAGGGGTAGTGTTTTAGGAAGAGCGGTCAGTCCATAATGGAAGGTAAGACTTCGACTGGTGCAATTATTGGCCCAAAAGCAGATGTCGTTCAATCAACAGCAACGCACTATATATAAGCAGCTTGAAATAATTGCCAACGAATTTATTTTCCTTACTCGTCCTGACGTTGATGTTGAAGGTACAAGAAGATTCCTGGGTTCCGCTCTCAACGGCAAAGGTGTACACAACCTCGGTTAGCCCGACTGGGAATACATCTCCCGATCTGTAGTTAAAGGTACCCAAAAGGTTGGCTCCATCTGTACTGACAGCCGATGGTGCGGTGAACTCTACCGACTTATTCGGGGTACCAAGCTCAACGGTTACGTTGATATTGTCCACGCAGGCGACAGTAATCACCCGGGTCAATTCAGGCTGGCTTGTATTGATGTCAACTGGTTTAAAGATTGATAGATAGTGACTTATGTTAAGTTCATAGATAGTTGCTAACGTGAAGTGAAGAATACTTAAGGGTAACCTTCAGTCAAACCTGGCTATAAAGGCCACTCAAAGGAAACAGAAAAAGTGGATACTGTAGACGGGTTCTACGACACTCATTTTTTTTTCTCAAGGAAGAAACAGAATACCTTTTTATAGAGAGGTGGCCATTAAGACAGATTTAACTGTAATTAGTAAGACACGTTCTTCATAGGACTATCAGTTTCTAGAATGAAATACTTAATTCATTTATCGTCAGTCATAGAAGGACCAATGACCAACCTCGACCTGTTAAGTCCCAAGACTAGATCTTCTTAATTGGCAGTAGGTCTATGATTTGAGCCTAGCTTTTGTAGGCCAGTGATGCTATATGTATATATATATATATATATAATATATATATATATAAGTTGTTGCCTACTAGTTGAACAGATGTTGCAGGAATGGCTATACATTCGACGTGCAACAGTTGCCGACAACGACAATAAAGGGCTTCCAAATTCTAGTTGTTCGATTGTCACGCAGCTATAAAGTAAGACTACCCTTGCGACAAACCAAAGACAAATCAGAACTAGCTTAGGGCAGTATATGCAATACAAAGTTGTAATGTATTGTTTGGGTTCAATTTAATATTGTGTAATGTTGTTTTCATGGGGGGGGGGGCGGGGCGTAAGGGGAACATTATACATTTGTTCAGGGGGGGCACGTGCCTCTCTCCCGAGTGCGCGTCAGGAACTGTGCATAAATTATATATTTTCACGTTCTATAACTGGGACCAAATTCAAGAGAAGCGGACAAAAAATTTCAGTTGCTCTTACGTGTATACTGTTCATTACAATATTTCCCTTGAAATCCAGTTGAGCAGTGACATAGATGGCCCGTCATGGTTTCCTCACACCAGCCATTTTCACATGGTTTCACGCCGCAATCTGTAAAATATTAAACGATTGAAGATGAACCTAAAGAATTATTCAGGGTATTCATTGTTGGAAAACAGGTGTACAAAATATTGTGTACAACGTAAATCGTGATTTCCTGGGATTACAAATGTTATAATTTAATTTGTTGTGGACTGTTTAATACATGACAAGAAATAAGTAAATCAATAAACAAGCTGAGTCTCGTTAACGATTTTAAAGCCCATCTGCACTAGTTTGGCAGGGGGGATTAGACCTCTCTGCAAGGTCACTGACAGGTGGTTATCAGCTCTCAATTAACATAAGAAAATAGGACTATGGGGGACCAACAGGCACCGATTATATAGGCATTGTCTGCTATATAGAGGGCGCAAGTAGCTACAATTAGTGCAGTGGGGCTTTAAATATAGTAGAGAAAGAATCAGTTACCAGGGAATCTGCACACTCGACGTCCAGGAGGAATGCCTAGTAGTCCTCTCTCCCTTCTGGTGCAACCTTCCATCTCGAATGGATGTGGGATAATCTTGGGGATGGTCTGTACCATACTGCCATTGGGATGTCCTTTCTTCTGACACTCAAAGAACATAGGTAAGGTGTAATTCAGGCCGAATCTGTCCGTAGGCCTACAGCAAGTCTCTTTCTCATCGCTGCTTCCACCCGATGACACGATGAAAGCTGTTTAATTGGAAGATATGAGAAGAGTGGTTCCTACAGTTTCACCGTGATCCTCCCTCTTAAAAATCCTCTTAGCCGTCTTTGATGAGCTAATTTTAAATGAACCCTTCCTGATGTACCCCCTTCAAATGTAGGTGTTTTTATTTCATGTATTCTCTGCCAATCACATTAATGTCTCCTAAAAATGTTGTTTACTTCGTTTTCTCTACTAAACTGACTAAGAACTGATGATCAGCACGAACACCACTTAACATTAAAGTATTTTAAATATGTGTGTTTGAGTGCATGAAACTGCTCATCCAGAAGAGTGATTAAACTACATAATTTTGATAACTAACATACATAATTCTAACTACAGGGCAACAATGGTTAAGGACACATGTGGAAGATTCAATTAAGAAAGGGAACGCAAACGAGGATTGGGTAAACAGTGAAGTCGAGGTAAGTGGAAGGGAAAAGTTACCAGGATCTTTAAAACATGACCTCTCAATCCGAGGTTGAGGGTTCGAATCTCAGTGTGGCACTAACTTCCGCTGGAAAGACATTAATCCATATTTTCCATTTTCCAGGCATAGGTAAAAAGGTACCTGACAATAGCTGGGAAGACCAGCAATAATAATGGCGAGGAGGGCCCTTGGTAAACAAAATTATCGTTACCATTATATCTCTTATTATATCAAGCCCGTACAAGCTTTTGTTTAAGTGGGGGTTCTTAGGGTTGCAACTTTGAGCCAGAGGTGAGAGTGAGACTTTGGGAGGGAGCGACCAAGCCCGAGGAATATTTAGCGGCAAATATGCGGGGGGGGGGGGGCGGGGGGGGGGGGGGGGGTGTGTAGGGCACAATTATTTCTTTAATCAACACCCCTCCCCCTCTTAAGCAAAGAACAAAACAAAACAAAAACTAAAAAAATATTACTTTTTGAAGGGGGAGGGTTCGCGCTAACCCCCGAATCCCTAGTTTGTGCGGGGTAGTATATATAGCGGTCATTACCTAAAGACAAGCATGCTGCGATGGCAAAGATGAATTTCAAAACACGGTTCTGTTCCATACCCTGTGTTCAGGAAAAAAAACAGATTGTGAATAAATCATTTGTTGTTTTATCACATGAGTTTTCATTTTCTCTTTTTAAAGGAGCTACACAAAGAAAATTCACTAACAACTGATAATTAGAACAAATTACATATGGATGGAAAGATTTTCTCTTGAAAAACACGAATAATTTGCTGAAAAATCATTTAGATATCATGGAAAGGCGTAAAAATGTAATTTTTCAAGACCCTTCTTAAACCCTCAAGCGCCCCCGAACGTAAGCCAAACACACGAGCGTGGCGAGCTCTGAATAGTGACGTCACACACTTGACAAACAGCTCAGTGCCGTGTAACAGTCTGCAGCTAGCCAGCCGTGTCCCGTATGTGACGTCACAAATATTGACGCTCTATAAAGGACCGCTGATTAAGGCAGAAAATCTGGATCTCAAAACTAACATTTTTGAGAGTATTTTGAAGAAAAGAGTTGTTGTATTTGATCAGCAAGGCTTCCCCTTCGCAATGATATGAGTTTTGCATCAATTCAAAACACTTTTGATTCTTCGTGTGCCTTCTTTAAGTCAATTTCTTCTAAAGATCTCCCCACTATTTCTTAAGATTTTAAATTGTTAATGCTTTTTATGTTTCCTCATGTGAGTGGTCCTGACTAAGGACTGTTGAGTATGAAGGGGATAGAAAAAGGGAGAACCCAATTAATGGTCCATTTTCAGGACTACTCCGATGGTGAAACCGCAAACTTAACGAAAGTTATACTCACTTAACCCTAAACCTCTAACCCTCAAACTCAAAGCAAAGACATGGCGTTGTGGTGTGCGCCTGTAATCCAGCCAACAATGGAAGTTATAAACTGGTTCAGCCGAGGACGCAGGTTCAAAGCCATGTCACGTCTTTCGAATGGTGACGTTAAAGGTTGGTCCCCAGACGTAAATAATCATATCTGATTGATACACGTCTGTAAAAACCCAATTACACACGTAAAGTAAAGATCATTTGAGTGTATAGTCGTAGGAATAATGATGAGACAGTTTTTTTCGCCGGTTATTACTTACCACTTTGGTCAAGCATCACCAAGCGAGATATCCTTATAATAGGTTATCGTTATGGTCCAATGGCATTTTCACCAGCCTGTCGAGAAGAGGACGAAATCAAGATTTCATAAAAGTTGTCTTTCACTGAAACGGCACTGAGTTATAACGTTAAAACAAAACAAAACAAGCAAAAATTATTTTAAAGATGTGTTAAGGTGGGACACTTTCACGTAATTACAAAGAGCACATCTCATT